CCAGTACTTCCTCACTTCTTTAAGATTGGCTATCCATCCTCCTGTCTCAGCCTCCCAAGTAGGGATTATTGGTTTTGTACCACCATGCTCAGCTTTAGGCAAATTAAATCAGGCTTTAGTTGAGAAAGGATGACTCACAAATCACCGCACCAAGATCAATGGAAATCCTGCTGGAAAACAGGAGGGAATGTAATCAGCTTGATGATTTCAGGTGGTGAGGTCCAGTCCCGAAGGGATCTGGGCAATTGATGGTCTGAGACAGGCTAAGACCCAGCCTTTTGTTACAAAACAGTCTCTAAAATTATGCATTCAGTTGTTTGTTCTAAATTAGATTTTCTTTGCTACTTAGGCACTGGTCAGATTTAACCAAACAGTTCAAATATGCACATGTTTCCCCAACTGTACTATTAACAACAGCAAAGAGATGGGGGCAACCTTCATGTCCAGGATGGAATTATTTCTGGTCTCACTCTGAAGTACTAGCACATGATAAAGTCAGACATAAGTGTTGCATCTCACAGAAAAACCCATTGAGACATGAAGACTAGTACGGGACAGAGTTTAGGATGGGGAACAGGAATAGCTGCATCATGAGTAGGGGTTTTATTTTGGGGGTGGAGAACATGTTTAGTGTTGTCCAGTGAAGAGAACTGCACAACATTCAGCATGTACTGCACTCACTGGATTGCTAAGTGCATCTTATTTCCATGAAAGAAGACGGCTTAACATCATCTCTCCGTGACAAACTAAGGCGTTTGGTATTTGCTACAAATAACCTGGACACAGGGGAGACCAAATCAGTTACCAGGAAACAATTTTGGTTTGGGAGGGTGGAAGGTGGGAAATGGAAAATACAGCACAATGCTACGTCTTCAGCGCTCCCTCTGGGTGGGGTCCTGTCCTGAGAGCCTCAAATGTGGAGCTGGTGAGATACAGCTGCACTTTCCCAGCGTGGCGCTTTTCTTGGAGCTCTCTAGGCGCCCACCTCTTCGCCCTCCTTGGCACCAAGCTGGAGTTGCGACCCACCAACCACCAGGATGCGCTCAAAGCCGCCCCCCGCCGCACCCCGCCGCACCTGCAGCTTTCAGGGAGAAGGTTATACACAACTCCATCAGCTTTGAAAAAGGGCTAGACTGCTACTGTCACAATGGGCGGGGCGCGAGGCCACACCCCCGGCCTGCCCAGGAGAGCAGCGGTGCGAAGCCCGCAGGCAGATCTGGTAGACCCAGCAGCTTGGGCCATGGCAGCTGCACAGCCGGGCCTTCCCGCGGGGGCGGCCGTGGTCCGGCGCTTGGCCCGGGGCTGCTGGTCTGCGTTCTGGGACTATGAGACGCCCAAGGTGATCGTGGTGCGGAACCGGCGCCTGGGGTTCGTGCACCGCATGGTGCAGCTGCTCATCCTGCTTTACTTCGTGTGGTGCGCGGGCCGGGGCACGGTTGGCAATTGGGCAGAAAGCGATCCTTAGCGGGGGGAGCGATGGTTGCATGCGTGGGAGCCCTGAGGGCCCCAGGAGAGGGGCACCCTGCTCTCTCCAGGGTTGCCTCCGGAGCCGGCACCGCCCTGTTCCCCAGGTACGTGTTCATTGTGCAGAAAAGCTACCAGGACAGCGAGACAGGTCCGGAGAGCTCCATCATCACCAAAGTCAAGGGGATCACCATATCGGAGCACAAAGTGTGGGACGTTGAGGAATATGTAAAGCCCCCGGAGGTGCGGCGCTTCCTGCCCCGGGCCTGAAGCTCCTCAGCGGTGTAACTAGTCTGAGTGAGCTGACCTGCCCACCGCGCTTTTATTTCTGCACCCAGGGGGGCAGTGTGGTCAGCATCATCACCAGGATGGAAGTCACCCCTTCCCAGACCCTGGGAACATGCCCAGAGGTGAGGTGGGTCGAGGGTGGTCTGGGAAACACTAGGCCAGTTAGAGTTTATCCTCTGACCTACAGTCTCAACTCTAGAGCATTAGGGTTCACAGTTCCACCTGCCATTCAGATGATGACTGCATCGCCGGGCAGCTGGACATGCAAGGCAATGGTCAGTGTGCACTAGGCGGCAGTGTGTGCGTGTGAGGGGGGGGGGGTGGGGCGTCAGCACTGACCTCAGTCGCTTAACCAGTGTTTGCCCTGCAGGGATTCGGACAGGGCACTGTGTACCCTATTACCACGGGGACTCCAAGACCTGTGAGGTGTCAGCTTGGTGCCCGGTGGAGGATGGAACTACTGAAAAGTATGCAGGGTCCACAGACCCCACTGGTAGTCTCCTTTGTCCTTACTGACGAAGATCAGAAGAGCTTCCGGAAGGAGAGGGACAGTGTGTTACCCTCTCCTGGGCTTTGGGGGAAGGGCGACTAAACCCTGTCTGTACCTTTGCAGCCAGTTTCTAGGTAAAATGGCACCAAATTTCACCATCCTCATCAAGAACAACATCCACTATCCCAAATTCAAGTTCTCTAAGTGAGTCCGAGGGCCAGAGTAATACCAAGTATAGTGCCTGAGCAAAGTGGAGGCTTGTGTTGGGAACCAGGTGCCTGTGTCTTCTGCCACTCCTTAGGGGCAACATTGCAAGCCAGAAGAACCTGAAGCATTGCACGTTTGATCAGGACTCTGATCCGTACTGTCCCATCTTCAAGTTAGGCTTCATTGTAGAGCAGGCAGGGGAGAACTTCACTGAACTGGCACACAAGGTGAGCTGGGTGTCAGTATCTGCTACCCAGGAAGGGTTTTTACTGCAGTTAAACGTATCTTTTCTGTCTTGGCCAACCTTGGGTCTGCTTGGGCAGAGGGGAGAAATGTGATCATGGGCTGTGAATGCACCTGCTCAATTATTGACACCTGGTCCCATGGTTGATGCTAGTACCTCATTATACCTTCAAAACCAGATATTCACTTGCTCCCTGGACCTTTGAGGCTTTTCTGCTCTATATCCCTCACTGTTACTTGGCTCATTTTTCTGCAGGGTGGTGTCATTGGAGTCATCATTAACTGGGACTGTGACCTGGACTTGTCTGAATCAGAGTGCAACCCCAAATACTCTTTTCGGAGGCTTGACCCCAAGTATGACCCTGCCTCCTCAGGCTACAACTTCAGGTACCTTGTTTTCTGAATGTCTGGGTTCGTGACATAGTGGTGTCGGCTTTGACTATAGTTCTATCAGTCAGTAGTCCTAAAGAGAGGAAGATGAGTGTGCACATCCACTCTGGCAGCTTGGCCACTGCTTTTGGTTTACTCAACCCTAGGTTTGCCAAGTATTACAAGATAAATAGCACCACCACCACTCGAACTCTCATCAAAGCCTATGGGATTCGAATTGATGTTATCGTGCATGGGCAGGTACGCACAGCTAAAGGGTTCCACCTAGCCCTGAGCTGGCCTAGCTCCATGTCCCTTACAGGCCCCCACCCTCAAGCTCCATTTCTGCCCAGCAGCCTATGATGAAGGTCTAACTAAATGCAAGCTTGTTCTCTACAGGCAGGGAAATTCAGTCTCATTCCTACTATCATCAATCTGGCCACTGCTCTGACCTCCATCGGGGTGGTAAGAAATCTGCTTGGGGGCCTGGGTGGGGTAGGGAGTGTCAGATATGCCCTTACCTAGTGGTGTCTGCTGACTTCAGGGCTCCTTTCTGTGTGACTGGATTTTGCTAACATTCATGAACAAAAACAAGCTCTATAGCCATAAGAAGTTCGACAAGGTGCGTACTCCAAGTCACTACCCCCAGGGTCAGCCACCCAACCCTCCATCAGGTAGAGGGCCAACTTTGGGAGAACTGGCAGAGCTACCATTGGCTGTCCAGCCTCCTCGGCCTTGTTCCATCTCTGCTCTGACTGAGCAGGTGGTGGACACTCTTGACCTGCACGTGGGACAAAGGCTTCCTGTCCCCGAGCCTTCCCAACAGGACTCCACATTCACGGACCCCAAAGGTTTGGCTCAACTCTGATCTCATCCTCACTAAGCTGCAGGCCTGGATCTGGGAGGGCAGAGACAGCTAAAGCTGCTTCGGCAGCCCTAGGGAGGATTTACACTCTGCAGTAGCCAAGCATACCCACGTGATGGGAAACAAGAGACACCTGTGCAAGAGGACAGAGCCTTGCTCTGGCCCAGGCTTACATTCTTCCTCTTCCTAAGGTTGACAGGGAGAACTGGCTTCCTGCCACCTTTGTTCCCAACCAAACTCCCTGCCTGTCATACTTTTGCAGCTTTCTGGGACCCCAAATCAGAGCTAAGCCCCCCTGTTGTATAATTCTAAGCCCTACTTTAGAAGTCACAGCATGCTGAACCCAATAAACTAGTGATGAGAAGCTTTCTGGTCTCAATTCCTTGAGAGTAGCTGTGGACTCAGGAATGTAAGGCAGGAGTCAGTCTCCTTCCCAGGGACCCTGCATTGTTAGGTTGGCTAACCAGCCTGGCTTTAGAGTACAGCCACACCTGGCAAGAGGACCAAGGCTATATCCAGAATCCCTGAGATGGGGTGGGAACTGTGAGCAGGTTAAGGACAAAGCCATCACTAATATCAGGTCCTGGGGTTACTGTATCTTTCTGTTAGTGGAGTGACTTGCTAGGCAAAGGCTGTTGGGAGCCTGGATCTTGGTTCCCTGGTGGCAATGTCTATGCTGAATGTCACCAGAAGGTATCCTAGCTCAGACCAGCATATCAAGTAGTAAGAGTGGCCAAAGAGCTAGGAAGGCAACCCTTCAGTTTTTGTCCACATTACCTGAAGATGGTATGCTTGTATGTGCCTCTAGGTGTCACACCAAGTGTTTACAGGATGCTTGGAAGGACACTAGCTTTCAATAATCCCACAGCCTTCCCTTCGTTGGCCATGGACTCCACAGACCATCAAATATGTTTAACTTCCTTCATGTTTGGTTTAGACAAACTGCCCTTTCCAGTTGGGTCTCTAGGTACAGCTTAACAACCAGGGCCAGAGATGCAGTTTTCTATTTCAGAATCCCTAAACTGACCTCCAAGTGAACCCAGGCCCAGTGCTATCTATGGTTGCAGTGACCTACCATGTGTTGCTATAGCATGGCTCTGCTGGGAGACAAGCCAATGCCTCTCAGGCCCCAAGATCCAGGAAGCATAGTTAACCATCTCCCTCCTCCCCCCATCTCCCTAATTTAATTTGATTTCCATTCAGAAGGTCCCAGTGCTGCCAACTCAATCCACATTCCAAACAGGGAGGATCAAGCAGATATCAGGTTTCTCCCTACAGACAGCCTGAGCTCATCAAGGTTTAGACAAGTTCCTGATGGACAGATGCTAGATATTAAACTTTCCTTTCAGAGACTGAGGCTCCCTGTGCAAATACAAAAAGCAAGCTAAGAAGTGGATACTATGGGGGCTGGAAAGGTGGCCAGGCAGTTAGGATCACTTGCTCTTTCAGATGGAATTTGGTTCCCAGAACCCACACGGTGGCTCATTACAATCTATAACTTCAGTTCCAAGGGGACCAATGCAGGTACCAGGCACACACAAGGTGCATACACATACATGCAGGTACAGTATTTATACATATAAGTTCGATATGGTTTCCCATCTCCCTTTAGGGCTCTTTTTATTTTGGGTTTCTGAGTTTGACACTTCAGCTGATGCTCTGGTAAACTGGTCTGGGACAGAAAGAAGCAGTAGACAAGGGCTGCATTTAGTTCAGTGAGGTGCAAAGTTCTCTTATTTCCTGAGACTAATGAAAGGCTCTACTCATCTAGCAGATAGGTCAGTGTCAGTATAGAGTGGGAGGTGAGAACAGCTACTTACTCCACTACTTTGCAGTGCTGAGGACAACCTATTCTTAAAAAGGCTAGGAATTAAGCTGCTCCTTTAAGAGGTGCCTGATTTAGTGCTCTGGGTCTCTGATGTCCCAAGGGACAAGTGGTGACTGAGTACAAGTCCTCAACAGATTTCTCTGAAACCTCATTTTCCTTGTTCCCTCAATAGGTAAGCCTAAAATCTTGCATGTGAGGAGGCATTTTTCTAAAATGTCTTACACAGGGTGTTCAAATTTATGATAAGTAACACATTAAAAACCCTTTGCTTGTGGGCCTCAGGCTTATGAGGTCCTTGCTACAGTCCTGTTGGTCAAAAGAGTGGGTTTCCATATAGACCAAGTAGGTCAGAGATGTTGTGCCTTTCAGGCTCATCTCAGCCCACTTGGACAGAGCCCCAGGTCTTACTCAAGACACTGGGTGACAACCCTTTTCAGACTTTGCTCTGAAACAAAAACCCTGGGTCTCCACATGCTTAGGACCTGGATTTCCCAGAAAGCAGCTCAAATTCTACTCCCATGAAGCTGAGGGAAAGGCCCATTTGTCTGAAAACAAGCAAGACTCTGTTGTGGTCTGTATTGGCTTCTGCATCCTTTCTGCCCCAATTTCAGAACTTATCTCAGACTAAGAATAGGAGACAGAAGAAAGAGCTGGTTTGGAAGCAGAAAGCATAAGTTTCAAAATATGTTTACTTAGCAAGCAACTATTGATGACAGAGCTATTCCCTGCTCCTGCTGCTTGTTATGACACCTTGCAGCTCCCTGGAAGTATTCTCTGGTCTTCCCGGACTGTAGTCATGAGTTTGGAAAAGTCAGGTGGTCAGTGGTTCGGCCATCTGGAGGAGGCATTAAGGTACCTGGTATGGGATATCAAAGTGTCTTAAGCCTAGGCTTGCTAACAGTTTGATAAAGGGCTTGTCTGTAGCAGCCATGCTATGGTCTCCTGGAGGTATGACATATTGTAGTGCTTGGCAATGTTCTGGAAGATTCTAATCTGTTCCATGAAGTCCTGTAAGAACAAAGAGACACAATAACTCGGTTCTACTCAGAGAGGAGGGGCAAATGACCCAGTATGTCTATGAGAATGGCCTACCTTTGTGTGGATGGTGAGAACAAAGTCCCCTGCACAGTTGCAGTACACAGGCATATGGGTCTCTTTCATACCACGGCACTTTAGGCACACCTGAAACAAGGAAGCAGCACCACTGATCTTGGCTCAAAATGTTATCACACTGGATCCTATCTGTGGCTTGTTAGCCTTGTTGAGGAGGGATACTTTCATGGAACCATTAGCACATTTACTTCCCTACTGCAGTCACATCAGGACTCAGTGCTTTGATGAAATTCAAGATTTATTCAGATCTTGCCAGCTCCTTTCACCTTGTTGTTGGTATCCCTAACCTGGATTCCCAAGGCCTGGGGGTATCCCATGTCCCAGCTGGCCCTGTCTCAACAGTTGCCCAGGGACATACCCATGGACTTTGCTCAGGTGCTCATAAAATGCTGTCAAAGCTTTCTCTGCTCTGCTTTTGAACTCTGCCACTGACACTGTTTCCTGTCTATCTATCGTCTATCTCCCTCTACTGGATGGATCCAAGTGTCCACAGAAGGTACACACACATGTGGACAGAATTAGTGGGCTAGGTGCATGGATGAAGACTGACTCCTGGGGCAGTCCCTTGGCGGCAACACTTAGGACCAAGCATACTCTTGTCTTCCCTGAAATGCTGATAGTATTTGGAAACCCCTGGGTGGATTGGGGAGCTCACCAGGTCCTGCAGTGTGAAGGCCATCAGTTTCCTCTGCAGGGCTTCCACCAAGGCTGATTCAATCACAGCTGAGTTGTAGGGGGCCTGACAATTGGAACAGAGCCACTGAGGCAGAATGGCCCCATCCTGGAAGAGTGGGGAAGAAGGCTGAGAAGTCAGTGTGAATGGCAGCCATGGCCCACCTGGGCAATAGTACATCAGGCTGGTGTAAAGGGAAGATGTCAGAGAGGAGTGCTATGGCAAATGTAACTATCACTGCTCTTGGTTGCCCAAGCCTTTCATTTGTGATGAGCTGACCTTTTCAAGACAATTTTCTAGCATGTTGCAGTGGAATGGCTTGGGGCACTGGGCTGTATACTACAGGTTGGGTTACATGTCCTAACCACTTTGGACATTTAGAAGTTCTGATCACCAGCTGCGCTCACCTGCGAGAAGGAGGAATCTTTGCACAAGTCCAGGTCTCGGCAGAAATTACAGCTGTGGCAAATCACCTCAGGGAGCACGTAGGAGTGGCAGGGGTCCCTGAACTGGGCCTCCTCAGAGAATTCACCAACGTCTACCAGGCGAAGTAGGTCTCTGTTCAGCTTATTCACCTGATTTGTGATGTTTGTGTCCAGAGACAATACCTATGGCAACCACAACCCATCATGAAGTAGCTCCTAGGTCTCTCCACTGCTCTGGCTGGACCACCCCCCACCCCCCCACCCCCGGCAGCGAGATCCGCCTGCCTCTGCCTCCCAAGTGCTGGGATTAAAGGCGTGCACCACCAACACCCAACTGACCAAATGCCTCTTTTTAAGCTCATTCCCTAGCATCATCTTAGCCCATCCTCTTCCCATCTGGAAGCCTCAGGGAGAGCTGATTCTCTACAGTGGCAACTTTGTCAGTGAATGCAGATTTCATTGATGAATATAGTAAACATTTCAGGTAAGAAACATTGATTCTACATAATACTTCCCAGAAACCAAAGAGGGAGGACACCTTAACTTGTCTTAGGAGGTCAGCATCACCCCAATACTGAAACTAGACAAAGACACAGGCCATTAACCACCATGAGAAAGGACAAAAAAACCCTCTACATGTCCTAGCATATGAACCCATTAATATGGAAAAAATACATAATTCAAAAATAAAGAAGCACAAATAAGGTCAGTTAGGTTTTTTTTCCCCTTAAAGACAAGAGTCTTTTACTCTATAGCCCTTTGAAGATGCAGGCTGTTCTTAAACTGTGATCTTTCTGCCTGCCTGAGCCTTCTCTAGTGCTGGGACTGCAGGAGTGAGCCATCATGCCCAGTCCAATTAAGCTTCCAAAGAGGTGTAAACATTCTTCAATGGAAAAAAGGCTATGGAACTGATTCCCTTATGTTCAGACAGGAAACTTGTACACATTGTAAAGATGAACTAAAA